GACCACACCAAGCACGACCCATTTCGTAATCGAGCCTGACTCACTACTACTACTATTACTACTGCTATTGCTGCTATTTTGGCCTGAGTCGACCTGCCCGCTCGAGCCCACCTCGGACGCGATGCAAGGCCGGGACAGGGGAGGCCCGCAAAGGCCAGGGTTCCCGGAAAACGAGGCAGCCGGGAACCTCGACATGGTCGGGGGAATTGGGCCATCCAATTTGTTATGCGAGAGGTCGATTACTTGGAGGGACTTCTGCTCGAAGCCCGGGACAGGACCCGAGAACCCGTTCCCCTGCAGCGCGATTTCCATGATGTTGTGGAGTGACGAGAGGGAGGTCGGGATCGGGCCCGAGAATTGGTTGTTCGCCAGCTGGAGCTTCTTGAGGGAGCCCATTTTGAGGAAGTAGTCGGCCGGGATCTCGCCGGAGAGCCCGTTTCCAGAGAGAAACAGAGACTTGAGGGAGCCGAGTCGGTTGAGGGCCGGGATTGGGCCGGCGATCGTGTTGTTCTCGAGGCTTACGTAGCGTAGATCTTTCAAATTGGCGAGCGAGTCGACGTCGATTTCGGGCGAAAAGGCAGAGATTCGGAGGTTCATGAGGAGGAGGGCCGAGACGGACTCGAAACCCGTCTCGCTGCAGTCGACACCGAGCCAGGGGAGGCGGCGGTTGCATGGGTCGGTGCCGGGGACCCACGTGGAGTCGAGGGCAGAAGAGTCTTTTAACGAATTTTTGAACTTAATGAGGTGGACATCTTCTCCGGCGGAGGCGGAGAGGCCGGGGAGGAGGCGGAGGGACAGGGCAAGGAGGAGGAGAAGCCGAACGGCGGCCATGGTTTTTTTTTTTTTTTNNGGTTTGTTTGTTTTTTACGTGTTTCTTAAACCGAGGTTAGCTAGCGTTCGATGATTTTCTCTGATAATGCTGTGTTTATCTGAACGATACCAAAGGGTGTCGGGAGAGGCAACGACGGGCGGCCGGCGGTCGGGAGAGATCAGAGGGGATTTTCTCTGAGAGTATTTTCTGTTGTGACTTCGGTTGAAGAGGTTGTTTTGTTTGGAATGAGATTGTCATGATGATTTTTTTTATTTTTTTTTTTCTGTGGTGATTGTAATCCGGATGATGATTTTCGGGGTTTGAAAGAGGTAAAAAGGAGAAAAAAGGGATTAGTGATAGGCAAAAAATTATGGTGAAAAAAAAAAGAAGAATAAATTAGAGAAGAAGAATATGGTTTGGGAGAGTATTTTGGAGGTGGATAAAAGAATGGTGGAGGATGTTTTAGCATGGCATGGTCAATGGATCACGAAATTTAAGGTCTCTTTGATATATATGAAGTCAATTTATTCAAGTTTGTTCTTTTTAATTAGGATGTTTTGACTTTCATTGAGGAAAAGTTGTAAAAAAATATTAAAGGTGACTATAATTATGCTATATACATGGAGACTATTCATTTAATGAGATTTCTCTACTTTTTTTTTTTTTTTTTTTTTTTTTTTTTTTTTCATTTAGTTGTGATGCTAACCTTTTTTATTTATATCTATAAATATACTTACATGCTCCGGCTGTGCCAAGTACAACCGGCCCAGTAACGTGTCCTTAGTTACTTGTTTCATAAAGCCAAAAAAAAAAAAAAAAAAAGAAGTTACTTAAATTTAGTCCAATTTTATAATAGTTGGAAATATAGCAGCAAGTTCTGAGAATTCTCTAAGTCGTTAATATAATGATATAGTTGACCTTGTATCTTAAAGGTATAAATACCTTTGTTATGCTTCTCCAAATCCTTGTCACATTTTACACCCATTGATGTAAATACAAAATGATTGTTAATTATTCTAATACAATTTCTAAATAAAATAGCTTCTTCAGAATTTGAATCAAACAAATCTCTCAACAAAGATGGTGGAGGATTATTGCTTAATTCAATACCACCATTCATGCAGCACATATTGTAACACCCCGCTTTATCGTAAAATCAGAGTGCGAAAATTTCGCAAAGTTATTTAAAAATAAAATCTTTTACTTTGCGAAAACTGATTTGGGTGCTACCGTAAAAACGTGACTTAATTTGGAAAACCGTTATCTGAATTTTTATAAAATCATACTGTTACTGAAAGCATAAAGTTTTCCAAAAGTCCGGTCAAACTATAAGTTCATCAACTGAAATGATACTGAACTGACATGAACTGATCATACTTTTATAAAATCCGGTCAAAAATACTTTTATAAAATCATACTGAACCTGACATGACATTTAGACTTAACCGGAATAACCGAAACTGAACTGACATGAACTGATCGGACATGAATTTACTGAACTGAAATTATCCCGGATATTTAACTGAAATGGCACTTAAAATACGAACCGGGATTAGAATAATATTATTTGGGTCAAACCGGTATTAACCAGTCTGAACCGGTCTAGCCGGACCGCCGGTCTGCTCGGACCGGGCGGCCGGCGGCTGACTTAGTCCACGGCCTGCCAAGGCTGCGGCCGCGGCTGGCGGA